TGTTGCACGCAGCGATAAAACTATTTGCATGTTTTGCTTGAAATAGTTTAAAAATGTAGGTCAGTTTCTTGTTAGGTTTATTTCTATACATACATATAAATATATATTTTTTATGAAGGTCTGAAATGAAAAATAGTAGTAGTTTTTCTGTAGGTATTATTAGTAAGGCTATGTAAAATGATTGTAATTTATGGTGTAGTTATTCCTCATGGTATCAGTTTAATAGCACTGTGCCTGCAATTACTGTCTTAAGTGAAAGTAGGTTAAAGCATTAACTGTGTAGTCCTTCCAACCTCTTTAAGGAAAAAACAACATAGTTTTGTAAACTATTAAATGTCTGTCTAAAAGAAGTTTCTTCTTTGAACCTTTAGAAATAAATGTAAAAACAAAAAAGGTTTTGCTTTCCTTAGTCAGTCTATATGAACACAACGAATGACAGAGACGATCCTAAAATTTGTGTTCATTTCCTGATGAGACATTAGAATGGATGCTGTTAGAGTTACTTGTTAAGCAGTAAAATGGCCTTCTTCTTACATGTGTTGTTTTCAGTGGGATCCAGTAGCTCATTTTGGGTTGTTTCTGGTCCGCTGAAGGTTTGATGGTTCAGGTTTTATCGCAGTAGTGTGATTTTTCTGGAGTTAGGCATGCTAAACGACACATTTTATGAAGGAACTGTCTGAAATGGCAGCTTGTTGTGGATTAAAGGGTCTATGATGGGATTTGAGCTCTATCTTTTAAGGAATCCTCAGGAAGTTTTGTTAAACTGTGATGGGATTATGTTTAAAGTGGTTGCTTTAGCCCTTTTTGTTGACAACACAATGCTTTTTTTTTTTACTCAAAGAAAACAGAAATGGCTCTTTTTCAAGCTTACAAAAATGTTCAGTTTTGTCTACAGTTTAAGACAGCTCTTAACTCTGGCCTTCGATGTTATCTGGACATCCTGCAATAGCTGTATTGTTCTTAACTCTGAGTGCTTATGGCTTTTATTATCTACTATTCTCAATCTACAGATGTTCCGCCACACTTCATCACTTGAAGTTGAAAGCTACCCAGAAGTTCATTTATTTCCCTGCCAGGTCTTTCAGGAAACACAAAATGTTTAACAGACCGGCCTTCACAATAAAAGGCCACTGATTTTAAAAGCTAAACCTGCCACCAAAGCTTGGTTTGGTCATACTTTTAGATAGTACCTTTATTAGCGGTAATATTTTTTGACAGGCGTTTAAAAAGATAATTTATACTCAAAGTGAATAATCTGTGCTAGACATAAAATAGCTTAGTACAAACTGCCACTCATTATTCTACAATAAAAAGTTTTAAATAGAACTAAAATGTTTGCCTAAGTGCTCATTTTCAGCATTTTATCATGCATAAATACATCAATGATATGATGGCTGATGATGGCTATAGCACCTTGTTTAAATATTCAATAAATTCAAGCTTCGAAGAGTAATCTGTGTTAGTTAGTCTGTGTTTACTGTAATGTATCCTATGCTTTGGGAAACTTTGGGGAGGCATGTTGCAGTTATGTTGTACTTTAATTTAGATTTTAAAAAATGTGTTGTTTTTTTTGTATTTGTTTTCATTAAAGCTCTAATTGCTTTTGCACCAAACCTTTGGGATGCTACTAATGGGCCAGAGTCCAGTTTCTAGACTAGACCATATAGATGTGAACCCATCTTTCACCCTGAAATGGACAATAGAATCAAACCCTGGCACTGGTACAATTGTGAAATTCACTTTTAGTGTGAGTGCGTGCTTCATCTGGGCTAGACGTTGTGACGTAAGAACAGAGAATTTCAGCTATAGAAGAAGAGGTAAAACATGTTTTACAGATGAGGTGTTCAACTGACTTTGGAATAATGACAGCATAAAGCCATAGTAGGTCTGTGGAACAATGCGGTACAAATTTTCTTTATTATGAAATGGTCGCCGAAAGGGATTTAACAATCTGCTTGCTGACCAAGTCCTATCGATGAGACAGAATTTCTTCTTCATGCTTTTTAAGATTCTGGATTAGTGCAATACTTGAGCTTTATGGTGGGAGTACCCTTAACAATTTTTTGTCTCTGTTTGGCCGATTATATTCAGTTATGCCAGAATCTTTTGGATCGGCTGAGTATCATGCGCCCTGGATCATATTGTATACCTGGGATAACAAGGGGTTATTAGCCTCTCACAATTGCTTCCCGATTGAGAATCGTACAGTGGGATGAAAATCAAACATTTGAAATTCAGTTGGCCCTCGCAAGGTGATCTAGAGCCTATCTTGCTGTTGAAGCAGATCTACGGGCCATTTACCTGAATTTCGCCCTTTGCAAATGTTCAAATGAAGGAATTCAGCACCATCTCTCTACGGGACTGAGTCCAACCTGTTGTTTATGGTCGTATAGCATGAGCAGGCAGATCGCATCACAGTATTGGGCAGTACAGTGTAAGAACTAGGGCTGCAAACTAACTAACGATTAATTTGCAAATCAAGAAATCTGTTGATTGTTATTTTTGATTAATCGATCATTAAGCGGTTAGCCAAAGCTTCCTTAAAGAAGACTTTTATACGAAATAAACCAGGTGAAACTAAAAGTTTTTTACATGAGGAGTTCTGAAGAGAGAATATTGAAAGACAATTAAAAAAGAAAAATCTTTTAGCTTAAAAGTCTTAATACTCCAGTTAATGATTAATCGATTACTAAATTAGTTGATGTTTATATCAATAACTGATTAATTGTTTCAACACTAGTTAGAACAGATGTATATCGTGAGTTGTGAACTTTTAAACCCTGCACTTTTGTCGTCCAGTTTGAGCTGTAGCCGAGTCCAAAGATGGAAAACATAGTACAGTTTAGGCCAGTCCTTATTGCCCCTCGAACAATCAGGGGGTTGCATGACATTGTAAAAAATCCCAGTGTGAAAGCAAACCATTCCAACTAAAGATGTAGCATTAGTTGGCAGCAGTGAGAATGCACCTTTTGATGTTTTTGCTGCTTAAACATTTTCCTTTGATTTCCATGTAAGTTTGAACTGCCATGTGTGAGAATGATGTAGTATTATTATTTTTTCCTTTCTTGAACCAGAGCCACTGTCTCATTGTGTGGTTGAGTGCATTTTATTTTAGCCATTACCACAGGAAGCACTGCTAATATTGAAATGGTCATCTTCAATTATTGCTGAAGAATATGGATCTAATTGAAGAATATGGATCTAATTGAAGAATATGGATCTAAAGGTCTAAAAACATTTCCTGTTCCTGTTAATTTCCTGACTTATGAGCTTAAAACAAAGCAACACTGCCTTCATTGGTTTAGCCTTCCTGTTAGCTGCTGAAACTCTTGCTCTTTTTCACTATGTTAAGAAAACAGTTTTCTTTTAAAAAGATCTTTAACTTACTGATACTAAATGAAAAGGCAAGTCTTCCTCCTTCAGTAACATTTTCACAACCTGCCTGCTGCTTCTTACATCTGGTACGTATAATAAAAAAAAAGATCTTAGTCTTGTCTAAATTTATCTCCTGATATTTAGATTTTGCTCTAAGTGAATCTAATTTTAAAGCCTGTCTTAGCTATGTACACATTTCTAACCTCATTTACATCCAGAGGTTTAGCTGATTTGTTTAGGCTTTAAGCTGTGGGAATCTGTTTTATCTCCAGCATTTAGAACGTCTTTAAATTGCTGCCAGTTGTTGCTGGAACAAGGGAAGAAGATTTATGACAAAAAAACCCAAAGCGAATACACCTTTACACCTTTACTTTTCTTCATGACTGCTCATTTGCATACATTTGAATTCTAGTCAGCCTCTTCCCTCAGCTGTTTGAGACCTTGGTTCTTTTTGCCCTTTGCCTTGCTAATTTCCAAACAGTCGTACTGCGAGCTTGGGCGTTTGCATTTTGAAATGAATGTCAATGCACAACAAAAAGAAACCAGATTATGCTGAGCACACCCCGCTGGTTATATTCTGGATGGCTTCAGTCTTCACTTCTCTTTAGCTTCGAAGCAGTCTGCATGCGTGCACCTGTTTGTTCATCAGGTGTGAACGAGGCTGCTGGAAGCTTGAAAGCACATTCATATTCACCCAAGATTCTGGAGCTGCTTTTGCCAAGGGGGCTGAGAGAAACCAATAAAGGACTGTAAACACAGGTGCAGGAGAGAGAACTGCTATAAGACGAATTTCATCCCAGTGCACCTTTTTTTTCTCCTTGCATGATTGTTTTTCCTTTTCTGATCTCTCAGCTTGTTTCTTTCATTAGGCTGTAAATGTATTCCATCTGTTTAAGTTCATTACTTTTAAGGGTATTTATCGCTTTAATTGATGCGCTTTCCTCTGCTTTAAAAAGTAATTTCTTACTCGTTCCTTCTGTAATCAATCCTTTTCGTCAGGTAGAGCTTTATCACTATTAGTTCATTTATCCTATGAGTAGCTTTGTCCTCCGTGACATGAGGACAGTGGCAAATTGATTCAGATTCTCGAGTGGAGCAAATGAATGATAGCTAGAAATTAAACGATGGAAGGAGGTGTAATGGTGGTTAGGACAAGTGGGCAGAGGATGGAGAGTAGAGCTTTAGAGGGAGGAATATACAAACAGGTTGCTCTGGGGGCTGGG